GAGTGCGAGGGGGATTGGAAGCCCCGGATTGATTTGGAAGGGGGTGGGAGCCTCAAAGTGAGGGCAGGGGGGAGTCTGAGGATTGGGGGGACAGTGGGAAAGGGGTGGGAGAGGGGACAAAGGGGAAGTGGGAGAGCAAGCAGAGTGGTGCCCTGGGGGTCCCTGGGTGTCCCTTGATCCGTGGTGGGGGGTTCAGTTCCCTGGGGCTCTGAGGGGGGTTTTATCCGGAATGGGGCGGGTCCCCAACCCCCCTGTCCATCCCCGGGGGGCTGATTGGGGGGTTGCCCCCCGGCCAAGAGCCGGTGCTGGGGCGCGCGTGGGGCAGAGTGGGGTGGGAAAGGGAGGTCCGGGGTGCCCCCCTGAGCTCCCACCGTGCTGTGGGGGTCTGGGGGATGATGGGGGGGACGGGGCACCCCCTGTCCTGTGTCCCGCTCAAACAGGGGTGTTCCAGTGGATGGGAAAGCAGGAGTGTCATTTCATCAACGGCACCGAGCAGGTGAGGTTCGTGGAGAGGCACATCTACAACCGAGAGCAGCTGCTGCATTTTGACAGCCATGTGGGGGTCTATGTGGCGGACACCCCGTTTGGGGAGATCCAGGCCAGGTACTGGAACAGCCACCGTGAATATCTGAAGTACAAACGAGGTCAGGTGGACACCTACTGCCGGTACAACTACAAACTTGGTGCCCCGTTCAGCGTGGAGAGGAGAGGTGAGCGTGGGGCAGAGCGGGTCCCCTCTGCCCCTGCCCCGGGAATGACCCTGAAGCCCCTCAAACCCTCCCTGGGAATCACCCCAGAACCCTCAGCCCTCCCTGTGCCCGTTCCCGTGGCCTTTTGCCCACTCCGAGTTCCTCGGAGTCCATCCCAGTCTCTCCCAGTGCCCCCCCGCGTCTCCACGCGTCGATGCCCCCGAGCTCCCGCCCCTCAGCCAATCCCAGCGCGTGTCTCTGATGACGCTCCAGTTGCCAGGCAGACCCAAAGCAAACACTTCCCTCACCACCACTCAGCCTCCCAGGCCCGAGCGCTTCCTTCCCAGGCCACACCAGTCATTCCCAGTCCAGCCCAGTCACTCCCAGTCACTCCCAGTCATTCCCAGACCCTCTCATTCCACTCCCAGACCCTCTCACTCCATTCCCAGTCGTTCTCACTTCACTCCCACATCTCCCAACTCTCTTCCCAGTGCCCCCACAGCCCATCCCCTTCTACCCCACTCTATTCCCAGTCCCTCCCACTGCCATCCCAGTCCCTCCCACTGCCATCCCAATCCTTCCCAATGTCCTCCAAGCCCTCTCCCCTCCCTCCCAGTGCCCCCCAGCTGAGCCCAGTGTCTCCCCCGTCCCTCCCAGTGCCCCCCAGCGTGTCCATCTCGCTGGTGCCGTCGAGCTCCCAGCCCGGCCCCGGCCGCCTGCTCTGCTCCGTG